CCCCTTCCTTCCCCACCTCCCCCCCTCAAAAATATATATATAAAAAGACTCTGTCCCATGGCCAAGTTTGACAGCTTTTCCACACCAGATTAGTTATCCCATCTCTGGAGTGTGCTCATGTTTCATGGAGCAGTTTCATCCCCAGGAGGAGAACATCCAAATCAGATGTGGCCCTGCACAGAGCAGGAGGGATGCGGCAGCTGCTTCCGCTGTGGAAACGCTCCCGCGCGGACCCGGCTGCTCCATCCATGTGCGTGGGCAGCAAATGGGTCCCGCTGCTCCGCATGGAGCCAGAGAAGTTGGCCACTGTGTTTCAAGGTAGCTGCTCCTGGTGAACATTTGGGGTGTTCATCTATAGCCCCTGATGGGGGTTATGGCCTGTTAGTGGCTGTCAAATGTATCAGTTATTTTCTTGGGAGCACCTGACCCACTGGTGGCTTTAGAAGGATGGCTGAGCCTGGGGCCTTTGCTTCCAATCCCAGCATAGTGCAAACATCCTGGTTTTGTCCATTCAAAAGGAGAAAAGCAGTAAAAAGGACCTGGAAATGCCGGAGTCAGCTCTGCTAAATGTTGTGAGGTCGGGAGCTCTTTAAAACACTCCTTTTTGTGGAAGCTGCTGCTGGGTTTCTCTGCCTTCTCTCAAGCCCTGCGTGGAGGCTGTGCAGGAGCTGCAGAGTTATGAGGGAGAAGGGATGTTATAAGGGGATGAATGGATCTCTCCCTTCCTCATGGTGAGACCTGGAGCATCCTGTGTCCCTGGCCATGCTGGTGACCACGCACAGCCCATCTGCAGAGCCCACATCCCCGGCAGCTCTCTGCGGTGTTGGAGGTGGCATCTGCGAGAGCACCGGGTGAGGAGGCAGCGAGGGGCAGCCCCATGCGGAGATCAAATACACGCGAACACAGCAAAATTGTGCAGGGCTCTGGGGACTTGTCCCGGGGCCTCGTCAGCATCTGCTAATCAAGCCGAAGCATCTGTCAATTTGCAGGCGAACAGGAAGGTCTCGCTCTGGACGACACGTGCGAGCTCTTCCTTCATCCTCCTGGTGTTTGCTCCCACCGGCCCCGCACCTGGGAAGGCTGCCAGGGAGGAGCCGCTCGGAGCAGGGATGGGGATGGGAAGGAGCCCGGCATGGGCGAGCTGGCCCTGGCAGCAGAGCCACCAAGGCTGAGCCCTGGCTAATTAGCACGAGCTAATTAGCTGAGACCTTGTGGCCCTGACCCAGCACAGCTCATGTGGTGGGTCAGGGACATTCAGGGTCAGACATTCTGCAGCCACCGCTCCCCAACACATTGCACTGCACACCCAGAATATTGGAGGCTTTTGTCCTTTTCCATTTTGCAAAAACACAGTTTAAAATTTGAATGGAAAACAAAGATCTTGGAAGTACTTCTAGCCATCTCGGGGATTTGTCTTTATTTTGAACAGTAGTAAGTCTGGCACCTGAACTAGCCTGCTTTGATGCTGCCTGTATGGAATAGTCTGACAGGGAACAGCTGTTCCATAGGATCTCACGGGCTGTTTGAGGTATGGAAGGTATGAGGCTTGAGGTATGGATAGAGCATCCATTTGACTGCCTATTTTATTGGCACCCTTTGCAGCTCTATGCTGCAAATGCCTGGTCTGGTGTCATGCCCTTCCCAAGCAGCCAGCTCCAGGTCCCCTCCCTTTCCTGGCCCATCTCGCTGCAGTGATTTAGAGCCCCATGTCTGGCAGCCCCATAGAGTTTCAAGAGCAAATTTTCCTTATTTATGGAAGTGCCCAAGGATCTCAGTTGCCAGAAGTATAAAATTTGCTGCTGGTGCCTCTGCGGCGTTTGCAGAAGAGCATAATTCTTGTTCTGTGCTTGCAGACAGCAAGGCAAGCATCCACAGCCGGTCGTAAAGCACAAGATACACAGCAGGATAGAGCATATTTACAAGGCTGATTCCACTGCAAGGTGGAGTAATCGGCTGGATTATGTGCTAGGGTAGCTGCAGGAAAATTAACTGCCTTGGAAAGAGATTATTAGCAGCCCCTGGAGTCAGCAGATTTCTTCCTTTTCTGGAAGGAAGGAAGCCTTTGTGAATTCCTCTTGCTTACACTCGTGAGTGCTGCTATTCTGTCAGCAGTAAAACTAGAAATTGGGTTGCTCTTCAGAACTCCAAAGTGTGTGTGTGTGGGGGGGAAATAACGGGAAAATCCCAGATATTATCCTTACAATATTTCTCTGATGCCAGGGTATGGTTCAGCTTGGTGTTCAAGTTAAGCTGGTGCAAGTGAAGATGCTCTTGAGTGTTGTGAGCTCAGCACTTGCATCCTGCCACGTTGCTGCCCTGTACGAGCACCTTCAGGAGGTCGACACGTCCCCCTGCTCCTCGGAGAGCCTTGTGTCTCACTGGGATCTCAAGCAGGGACACTGCGAGCGGGGACAGTTTGCTTTTAGCTCAGCTTTTGCCTCCTGTTGTGCCTCTTTCCTGCATTTCCACTTTGGGAAGGAGGATGGAGATGGGCAGAGTGGCACCTGAGCCGCTCCTGAGCACAAGCCCCTTCCCCACTGCAGATCCGAGCCATTCACGAGCTGAGTCTGCAAGTCCTTCTGCAAGGTCCTGAGCAGTACATTGGAGGAGGTGGATTGTGACTTGTTGGGGGTGTATTTTTTTGTTGTTTTGTTTTTTGTTTGATTCCCCGTGAGGGAGGAGGGCCGTGGCGGACTGGGGTAGCTAACCCCTTTAACTGTGTGCACTGGAGGCTGACCGCACCAGGGCTCTGCCTTTAAAAGGGCACTGAACCTTCAATTCCTGAATAAATCATCTCCAGTCTGCTGCTCCCTCATCTGCAAGCTGTTTGAGCGCGCTGCATATTCACTGCTGCCCAGGGCCCTCTGGAGATCAGAGCCCTCGTGTGACCTGGGTCACAGGCAGGACACCTGTCACGGGCTGTCCCCTTGCCCCGGGGCTGCCGGGACCTGTGAATCAAAGGGACACCAGGGAGGCAGCGGTGTTGAAAGCGTTTCTGACTGCTGCTGTGCAGGCACAGTGAGCTGTGCAGGGATGGAGGTTCGTGCTGATCCCGCATCCCTCCAGACCCTGTGTCCACAGGGTAGCGTGGCTGCGGTGCAGCATCCTGCCTGCCCGCAGGGATGCTCTGGGGCATCTGTTTTGCTACTCTGCATCTCACCTCTTTTAACTATGAAACCGGGTTCAGCTGATTTTAGACAGCTGGTCATGCCAGGGATGTCTGCTGCTCACAAGTGAAGTGTGCTGCTCCTGGGAGCATGGGGTTGTTTGTCCTTGCAGTCCCTTGGTGGTTAAATGACACTTGAGTGCCGCAGGCATCGCTGTGGTTGCTGTAGCCCAGGGGCTATGTGTTGGGCTGGAGGGTTGTAGCTGAAACCTTAGGCACTGTGTGTGCCCAAGGCCGTGGCTTTTATTGCATTGTGGTTCCACTCACCAGAGTGTGCATGTGTGTCCGTGCACGTGTGCCATGCACGTGCAGCCCACTGGAGCAATCGGCTGTTGGAGAGTGACCATGTGCATTTCTGGTGTGTTTATCAGCCCCAATAGCCAAGGGCTGGCAGTGCCCACGGCTGCCTGGTCTCAAGAGGAAAACCCCATCGTGGATCCCTGCAGCGGGGGGCCATGGTTGCCCTCGCGCTCCATGGGGCCATCATCGTGGTCTCAGTGTGTGTGTCCAGGGGAGAGTGATGGACTTGCAGGCAATTTCTGAGACAGTAGGTTCAAAAGCAAAGAAAAACATGCTGGGAATCGCTCGGAAACCTTTGGGGCCTCAAGCTGCCCCTAATTGCACTTGCAGGCTGTCAATAGCAGCGGATTTGATGCAAATATTGTGCAGGAGGAGGGGAAACGACCCTCTTATGTCCCTGCCACTGGCATCTAATATGTCGCACACCGTGGCTGCAGGCAGGGATGGGGAAGGGATCCGCATCCTCCTGGAGGTTAATGACAGCGGCAGGTAGCTCATGGAAAGGGTGACGTTGGCTCTGGTTTCTCCCCTCCTGGTCCTGTCTCCGCTGCGTGGAAGATGCTGCCAGGGTCGAGGCTGGGGAAGGACCCGGCCGCCCCCGGGGTGTTTCTCTTGGTATCCAACCATAATGAGGTGAAAAGGAGCATTAATAAATTATCTCCCTGGCTGTTAATTGACGGGTCTCCAGGCGGGGCCGGGGCTGAGCCCGGGGCTCCGCTCCCCTCGTTAGGGCCCCATTAGCACATCCCGCTTCCCTCTGCCAAGGCAATTAGCGCCCGGCGGCCGCTGCGGAGCCGCCGCCTCATTTGCACGTTTTTGAATCGCTGAAAGGCTCGGGGATAACGGAGCGGGGCCGGGGGGGCCTTCGGAGGGGGAGGAAGGAGCGTGGTCTGCCTCGCTCCGGAGGTGCTAGGGCTCCTCCAGCCTCGCAGAGGCTCCAGCAGCTGCTCCAGCCGGTGCCTCTGTCCGTGCGGGGGACAGAGGGACCTTGGGACCCCCTCGGTCTGTGCCCGGGGACCGGGGCTGTCTCTGACCGCGCTGCAGTCGGGGGATGAGGCGGGGGTTGAGCTCCCCGAAGGAAAAAGCTGGAAAGTATCGGGAAAATAGCCGGGATTCGGTTCCAGTTTAACAACTTGGTGGCTGTGCTGTGCGGCCACAAAGGCGGCCTTGTCCCCGCGGCAGAGGATAAGCCCGCGCCCGGGATTCATATGCAGATCCGGGCGGTGCTGGTGTCTGCTGCGGGGGATAAATCTGTCCCCAGCCTTGTCCCCTTGCCCCGGCCCGAACTGCTTTACATTCGCACAAAACAGGTTCTAAGCGCCGTCCGGGGCGGCCTGTCACCTGCCTTTGACAGTGGCGATGCCAGCACGGCCACCTCCGGGCGCTGAAGGAGCCTGGCCCTGTGTGACACTAATCTGTCCCCCCGCCGTCCCCGCGCGTCCCCTCTGCTGCCTTGAAAGAGCCCCTGTCCTCAGCGCTGCAGAAAGCTCTCGAGCATGTCAGGTGCCACGGGGCGCTCTTTGCTTCTCGCTCCCTTTTGTTGTGGCTGTTTTGTCACTGCTTGTTTTATTTTTAATATTAATGCAGAGCGGTGGTTTTCTTCCCGCTCTTTTCTCCCGCGTGTTTGCAGATGTGCAGGATCCTGCACGTCTGGGTGTGAAGCTGCAAGCGGAGATCTGGACCCGTCACCAATGCCAGCCTTTTGGCAGCACCCGAAACACCCCACGGCTGAGAGAACTTAGGGGGTGCTGCAGCCGTGAGCGCTTTCACTCGACCTCTCCACGGCTGAAAATTGAAGGCCAGGGCTGTGTTTGGGCCAGTGCGTGGTGCAAATAGGTGCCTCTGAGTGAGCAGGTTCCAAATGGCTGCAGGGTGATGAGGAGGAGGGTCGCCCAGGACAGGTGGAAAGGAAAATTTCACAATGATGCATTGGACAGCTCCCGGGAGCCTGACTGCTTGGAGGAGCCATGACGTTTCCCAACCCTCTCTGCACATTTTCCTTCCCAAACGTTAACAGTCTCCTGTGTTCAATATCTCTGTGTGGGCAATCCCATTTCTGGTGCCTATCAAATGCCAGCTGCTTTAATATTTATTAAAAATCGCAATTTATCAGCTTAATGGAGAGGTAAAAGTGCTTTATCCCTCCTCCTAGGCAGTGGCCACCTCTTAAAATATAAATTCCTTCACAGGCTGCTATAGTGCGTCGGCATCGGGAGCTCACGCGTGTACCTGCAGGCAACTCTTCGCACTCCAAAGCTGTTCTCCTAAGGTCAATAGGAATTAGCTGTGAAATTAAAGTTTTCAGTGCTTTTGCTAAAGTGGAGCATAACAGAGGCCTGGTCTTTCATTTGCCAGTTTCTGCCAGATCTGCAGAGACAAGAGTTATCAATAATTAACCGGGGTAGTTTAGGGGAAAGTATTAGGGAGTTAATGAAAATGGGAAATAGCGTCATTATCTTGCAAGGAGCTGGGGATTGGGGTGTTTGAGCTGCTAGTGGAGAGCAAAGTGTCGCACGATTAACTTCTTGGAGGTTGTCCCTCCTGCTGCGCTCCTGGAATGACGTCAAGGCTGTTTGGTTTTTCCGACCGGTAGCATTGCTTTTATAAAGTCTTTTAGCAAAAGTCTTTGCTTGGGGCATCCTGACTCGTGGGTCTGTTGAGATGAGCAGGGTTGGGTGTCCTGTCCCCTGCCATGTCCCCGCTAAGGCCATTCCAGGCACTCTCCGCTTGGCCGTAGCCAATTCCCTGCGCATTGAGGAGCGTCTGGGTTAGCTCGTGAGCTCGTGTTTACCGAGTGCTGTTTTTCTGCTGGTGAGCAGCACATGGAAAGAATTGCCGCACGGCTCAGCAATGCCGATGGCATCCCAGGGAAGCCCTGGAGAAGGGCATAAATTCTCCAGCAAGTCGGCACGGAGGAGCTGCATAAAGCAGCTTGGCAAAGCTCGTGATGGGTTTCTGCATGTAATTAAGCATCTCCCAAGGGCCGGGCCGAGGGGCCCCGGGGCCTCTGGCAGCCCTGCGGGTTGAGAAGCCTCTGGGTCCTCTGGGCAGGAGCGAGGAGGGGATATTGGGGAGGAAAAGGTGCTGCAAAGGCTGGGGACCCAGGGTGGGCACCCATGGGTGTCCTGTTGGGCAGGCGCTGATGGGGCTCATGGCTCCTGTTGCTCCATGTTAGCAGCAAAGCCAGGGAGGGAAAAGTGATTCTGTAAATACTGGCACTGGTAGGGAAAAAAGGAGGAGGAAAAAAAAAAAAAGCCACCAGTGGCTAGGGCCTCCCATTTGGGGAGGGTTTGTGCAGGGCTCAGCGTTGCTCGCAAATGCTTTTAATAAAGTGTTCTTTCCTGCGTCCAGGGGAAAAAAAAAAGCCCCAAACCTCAAGTCTTTTCCCATTACATAAGGAACAGATGGTGCTGGGGAGAGCCCTGGCCCGAGCCGCGCGGCAGCACCTGGCCCGAAAACCCTGCCGGGCGCGTGGCCCTCCATCCCGCTGGGGGCCGAGTGAAACCATCCGGCTCCCCAAGCCGGGCGGAGAAAGTGAGCGGGACCCGTGCTGCCCGCTGTGCCGCTCCGTGTCCCGCGCGCTCCGGGCTCGGCAGGGCTCTCCCTGCGCCTCTCCCTGCAGCAGTGCGTGCCAGGGCCCGTGCCCACACTTTCCTCGCTTTTCCAGGAGATTCCTTCCAGCTGGGCCTCTCGGGAAGCAAAGGCGCTTCCCGGAGTGCACCCTGCAGCACTGCACACACGTGGGGCGCAGGCGTGCGGGTCGCCGGCCACCTCTCCCCTCCTTCCCTTCGCGCAGCGAGTCGGCCCCTTGCAGCCAAATGTGCCTCCACGGAAAGCGCTGAGCTTCCCAAATGCCGAAAGGGTGGAGGAGCTGGGATGAAAGGAAACCTGCTGGGAAAGGCATGGGCTCCAGGCAGGAGTGAACGCGAGCGCGTCCGGGTGCTGCGAGTGCCGGCAGCGCATGGAGGCCGCAAGCTGGTGCTGCTGGGCCTGCAAGGTGCAGCTTGCTGCAGCCAAGACCCAAGAACCTGCGTGACCGGGACCACATAGAGTCCACTGGGCTCGTTGGGACTTTATTTCTGTTGAGGACACAACAGGCAGCTTGGGGGTTTGGAGGCTCGTGGCTCTTTGCTGGTATCTCTTGGATGACAAGGTGACCATGAGGCAGCAGTTGCCCTCGTGGCCAAGAAGGCCAATGGGATCCTGGGGTGCGT